GACGCGACATCACCGACGACGAAGATCTTTGTTAGCCATACCCTCTTGATAGGTGAGTGCCGCTCGCCATCGGTAATAATGATGATACGTCCGAGGATCATGTAAATGCTTGCCGCGAACAGGGCTGGTGAGATAAGCAACAGCAGAGTCTGGACCACATAAGGTTTCACAGTCCAGTTGGGACTTTCGCTGGCAGACACTGCCCTCTGGGATGAGGTTAGAAGTGGAAGGTTTTAACGATAAGGAAACCTACACCAACGTAACCAATGACTTGCACTATTTAGGCATTAGTCTGATAGTAGGGACTCGGAACGCCCCTGGGGAAGAGACTTACTGAAACCACCGATGACGAAGCAAGAAAAGAACCACGTCTTTGTCCTAATTAATTGATACGTATGCAGTCCGGTGACCATCAGAAAGAGGATGATGAAGATGACAGCCGCCGCCATGGACGGGTCATACCGGTAGAGCTTGAAAATAGCATCACCATCTCCTGCTGCTGTGCCAGACATGATTGAAAGCTTCGGAAGTTGGGTAAAATTCCGACGAGACTCAGAAGTCTAATACAAACGGTTGTAAGAGTAAAAGGCGTTATGAAAGAGTTTTTAGATAAATATCAGAAGAATGTTATTATTGAACATCGTAAACAGACTTTATAGTAGCTCAAAAAAACATATTTAAGGGGCCGCTTTACAATCCCCACAGACTCCGTGGCGGTGCACTCCCTTTTCTAAGCGCTTGCTCTATGTGTAATCTCGGGTTCGTTTACGGGCTCTGGCGGGAATGCGAAGAACGAGGCGGATGCGCTTTGGGCTGTTCTGTTGCGTGTTTCGTATTTTTGTTTCCAGTAGCCCCTGGAAATATAAATCAAATGGTTACTGGTATTGACCTCTTATCTGAAACGTTAGTTTATCACGTGTTATTCATGTAAGCACAACGGCCTCTTCTCGTCTGTCAACTATATTCCAGAATTCGCAAGATTATATCGTCCCACTTTTCCACTGCGGCTGGACACATCTATCCCACCTTCACCCTAATTCCCATTTGTTACTGTCAAGTCGGGGATTTCATCGACTCATAGTCGTATTCTCCAATTAAAGTAATCGCCGTAGTGTTAACTCACTATGTGAGCCCAAACCCTGGAGTCAACTGTGGAGGAAGGTTGCATGTCAATCTTTGGCAGTAGGGCGTTGCATTTCTCCGATCATTGGATGTGATACCGTAAGTGGAAACTGACCTGAGCAGTTTCTAACCACTGAAACTTCTAACACTGTTGATATTGGGTTTCTATGACCTCACCCCGCAGCCCATCAACTGTTTAACGAGATCCAGGTCAGAGGAAGGGACTTTCTGGCTGATTCACCCATACGCAGCTATCTGTCATGAATCTTATGGAATACTGTACGTTAACATAGGGTAGAGAGGGCCGAACCGGGCCGCTACTATTCTTAGAGGCTTGTCCACACGAAGGATGCAGATGACCTAACATAATCTTAATTTGGATTGGCGCTTACACCTTGCATTGTAGTCATGGCTGTGTCTCAGTAACCTTCTATGATTAAGAAAGAATGTTGCCACTGTACACGACCAAATAATACTCAGTTTCTGCCTGTTACCTCAACCACCTTTGTACTTTCGCTCAGCCTTATTGCCAAGCTGCACATGTAGTCTCAGCTGTAGCCCCCACTTCAACTCGCTTCCCAAGATTGGTTCAACTTGCAGTGATAAGCGCTTGGCGTCAAGGCGCAGTTTCATGTGCAACGCAACTGTAGTTCTCATTGGATATTTCAGTACGTGGGCTGAAAAAAGGCTTCTCGCACATGTGGTGTTCTTGGACTCGACCTTTCCTATTTAATGCCCTCGAGCCAGAGTAGAGTGTCTTTCAGCCTTTGACTGTCTTCGTATCTCACATACCGTAACAGCACGATGCAGCCTAACACCCATCGTTACGAGGCGACACCGGCTCGCGATGTAGACACAGATGAGATTGAATTGAATCCCACCAGCGAATCATCTCGTAAACGCAGCTACGTTCGTCATGGAACCTTTTCCACTGACGGCTGGGGCCTGGAACTCCTCTCGTCTTTCACAACTCTTCTCTTGTTCTCCGGCATGGTTGCTATATTTTGCAGCATGCGCAACAAGCCTTATTCCGAATGGCCCCTTTCAATCTCTATAAACACAATCATCGCCATTATGTCCACTGCCTGTACGGCGGCTATGATGCACAATGTCAGCGCTTTTATAGGACAGCTTAAATGGCTTCACTTCAGACGATCTTCGCAAAGCGTATACGATGTCGAGAGATTTGATGAGGCCAGTCGAGGGCCACTTGGAGCTATCCTCCTTATCTGCAGACTTCCATGGAATCTTGCAACATTGGGAGCCTTCATAACGATTCTCCGTCTGGGCTTCTCTCCACTCTCTCAGGCTGTGGTTAGCCTAGAACCCAAGATGGTAGATGTCCCAAGTAACGACTCGACTTTTGGATATGCACACGCTTACGATAGAAACATGACAACGGGTGCTCAGTCCGGTAAGCTACCAAGATGCAATGGTACAAGTAATAAACTGACGGTCAATTCTAGAGATACTACCGGATACACAAATGCAATCAGCTATTCTCCAAGGCCTTTACGATATAAGTTCCATTCCTGTGTTTAACTGCGGTGGCGCCTGTCTCTGGAGGGACCCGTATGTATCCTTGGGCTTTAAGAGTACGTGCAAGAACGTCACCATGTCGACGTTGGAAACAAAGCATTGTATCAAGCCAGAAGGGAGGCCAGGGATGATGTTTGATCGCAACTGTAATTTCACAACGCCGGGAAACATCACACTTACAACTCAACATGTGCGGACCGACTCCCAAACCACTTTCCGAATCAACGCTACACGTACTCATCTGGCTCATCCCGATAATATCACCACGACGCTGGATGACATTGTGAGGATCGCTGTTTGGAGATCAGGCTATGATACCAGTTTCAACGCTACTGACATCAATATCACGGAATGTGCCGTCGGATTTACTGCGTACGAGTACCCTAGGGCCGAAGCGAACGGTAGCACCTTTTCTTTCGGAAAGGTTGCTGAAAGGGATATTAAACATGCCAATTGGTCCTGGGAGAATCCGATGGCTCGAACTCATCTCACTAGCAACAAGACTTCTAGCCTACCTCCGTTCAAGATATCCATCGTCGACATTGAGGCACTGCAAGCCTTTTTCGAGTCCACCACCTTCCAATCCGAATTTGTAAGCGGAAGCGCAAAGAATAACAACCCCGGACTTAGTGCCGCCTTGGATGGAAATACTAACCTCACACGTGCTTTCGATAACATGGCACGGGGCATGACAGACTATCTCCGTTCAGGGCCAAACGAGAAGCTAGCCAAAGGAGTTTTAAGAGAAAACCAGATTTTTGTGTTCATCCGGTGGTATTGGTTGATTGGCCCTACGGTTTTAGAGCTATCTGCATTGATATTTGCAGTCTTTACGATAGTAGGCACTGCGAGGAAGCATGAGGTGCCGCTGTGGAAATCTTCGGCTCTTGTATTATTAAGCTGTCGGCATGACGTGGACTCGGGTGTAATTCATGGAGAATTTGGAGATATCAAAGAGATGGAGCAGATGGCAAAAGTATCGAAGGCACGGCTAGAGTAGCGAAAACAGATTGATGAATTCCATGTATATATACAGCCTAGAAAATATGCCTCAAAACGCACCCTGCCCATGTGCATATCAGTGACGCTGGCATGGAGGCGACTCAAATTTCGTTACTGATCCTATCAATCCTCCTACATATCACTCTTAACATTACTTCCTTCTCCTCCAGGTTCCCCTCAGTGGTCCACGCCCCTGGCCTGATGTACCATCTGCTTCTATCCTCAGCGGATTTGGATTCCCTCCTCTTTGCCTACTAGACCCGTCAGGTATGACATCTTGGAAATACTGTAGAGTTTAGAGTTGGACTGAGATATATAAGCGGTGGTGATATTATTGACTGATAGTAGTTACTATAAATGAGAACTTAAGGTCTCAATATCCCTTCTGGTAATCTATAATGGCGATAACTCGCTGGCTGTCTAGATATCTTTAGTACAGTACTGCTTCCTAAAGGCAGTAAAGTGCAAGACAGTATTTTAAGATGTTTTACATATAAATCTAGACTGTGCGGTAATATAAGAAGGCTGTAGGTATAGAACTTATATTTAAGAGACCTTTTAAATAGTATTTTAATATCTAACCTATTATAATTACTAATAGCTATAATTCTATAAATCTTTTTATTTTACTTACTAAAATTAAATTCTATATTAAGTATTACTTTTTCCTTTATCATAAATTAGATTGATAATATAAGTAATAGTAGAGTCTTAACTATATAAGGCGTTATGTTATAATTAAAGATATTAAATATTAAATATTACTTTTTACATTAAGCCTATATTTAATATACTCTAATGTTAAGGGAACTTTAATTAATGTATTTAATGACCTATAATATCTAGCCGTCAGTCTTCAAGTTCTTACGTGACTAATTACTTAAATAATATACTTGCTATCTCCATTTTAACGCGATTGATTGAAGACTCTGAAGTACCTTCTTTACGCGTAGGGTCGTGCCATCAACATGTCGCTCTGCGAATTGCAGCAAGATGCCTTCCATTCGCCCAGTGTGGATTTCCAACGGCTCTGCCTCTTTGAAAAGCTTCATATAAAACTCTTTTAACTCTATAGTAGTTCTCGTGTCTAGAGTTTCGGAAAATCCATAATCTTTGGCTGCTTCAGCAAGTTCTGCCACAGCAGACTCCACGGAAATATCGTCTATAGCGAGAAAATGACGCAGCTTCCAAATGGACGGTCGGGGAGCTTCTGCCTCAATGAATACTCGTAAGCGACCCAGGATATTGTTCTCAGCGGTTCGAAAAGGCTTTTGGGTTGTGGAAACCGGCCAACACCTGCTGAAAATGGTCATCAGGTCTCTTTTTTCCCACGCCTCTCAGAATTCGTCGAAGGCACAGGCAGGGTCTTTCTTCTCCGTGAATGTAGCCGGAATTGAGGACTGGAGACTCTCTTCGTACTCAAGTCGGGATAATGATCCGAATAGCATGGTATTGTACATTCTGCCAAGGGTTTCTTCCTCATGTCGGTCCTGGCATACAACGAAACCAAAGTCGAACCAATAACAGCTGTTTAGATTCATCGGAGGCGGATAGGAGTTGACTATGGTAATACCGTAGAAGGCAAAGCAATGCATCTTCGAAAAGGGACTCAAGTCGTTAAAGTCCTTGTTCTGGTCTTCTGGGGCTAGATACTTCCGGGCTTTGTCCTGCATGTTTTGTAATTGCCTCTCAGGACGTGGTCTATGTGGAATGGACTTATCGTTAGCTGTTAGCTCGAAGCGCTTGCGGTGTCTGAGAAACCAAGGGAAGTAGCCGCCTGTGCTGCCCTTAGGAAGCTCCTCGAATTTCTCAACTATCTTTGTCACGAGATATGCGTTGCCACCTAAGTCTGACCTCCACTGTTGAAGTTCTTCACGTGTAATGGGATAATGATGGTAACGGAGAAGTCCGGCGAAAAGCCCCAACAGATGCGATTCTTCATGCGAAGTTTGGCATCGGTCGAGCCAGTAGTCCTGTCGTACCTGGGGATCTGTAGGAACTATATCTTCAAGGACATCCTGATAGAGATAATCTGCCGAAGTAACTTGCCGCATATTGCATTTGAGGAGGTGTGACAATGGCATTTTCCGCTCGCATTTCTCGTTGCAGAACGGGCCTTGTCGACAGCGAGAGCATGGTCTAGTGCTTGCCTTCCAGCATGTACTACATAATGCTTTAGTGCTTTCTTCAAAGGTCTCATCTTGAGCTTCGACTCTCGATGTTTCCTCATCTTGGACATAATCCAGGAGTCTAATCAAAATCCTTCTTAGTACGCAGCAAATGAATACGAGTATTGTATTACCAGCACAGTTAATGACTAACCTATCATGTCTTGATTTCCCATTAGAACTTTGAGCTCGTTGCCGGCGGAGATGCTCCGATACAGCGTGACTCTGCGGGTGACTTTCTTGGCTTATCTGCAGCATTGAGATGAGACTGTCGCCAATCGTTGATTCTTTGACCTCTGGTTTTCTATTACGCGATGTTATCGGGCTGCCCACTAGCTTCTTTCGCATCCACGATGTAACTTCTCTCGCAGCTCGGTACAGTTCCTGCTGTTCTTCCTTCCCCAAGCTGTCCCCCAGAGGAAGAGTCCAGCTGTGGTTGTATAACTTGCCGTGACAACCCCGTGTTCTCAGCCCTGGGAAGCAGCGCAAGAATTTGGAACATTGCAGACAGATATACCTGCTACAGCCAATGTAGTCGAACCTTTTTCCATTGGCAATTTCGTCAGGGTTGCTGAGGGTGAAGGCTATGAGCTGGGCCTCAGCGTGTACCTCCCGAGTCGGCGAACTGAGTCGACAAAAGTCGATGATTAATTTATTCTTCGTCCATTTCGCCTTCGAGTTTGGAGAGTTCATTAGCTTCCCGACCGCCGCATCACTTAGTTCAATGTTGAGTGATCGAAATGTTTTGGCCGGGCTCCATTCCTGACAATATAGTTTCTTTCGAATTTTTGGTTTTACCACGGGAATAAGGGACAGGTCGTCAAAACCAGATAGTTGCGTCGCAGCAGCAACAAGGACCTTGAATGAAGTCCGTAGACGGCCCAAGAAACCAATTTCTCGGCGTAGAAATTTACCTTGCGGACCAAGAGCCTGGAACTTGTCGGCTGGAAAATTTCGATAGAGAGCATTACTTAAAGTCACAAGGCTGTCGTGTCGTTGTAAATCCGAGTCATTATCACCAAAAAGTAACTGTGCAAGCAATTTCAGGCAAGTCTCGAACCCTAGCGTAACACCATCTATGTGTGGAAGGACAGCATTATGAGTTGACTGTGAACTGAAGCGCTGCGGAAGGAGGTGCTCGAAGTTTTTCATGATTCGACGCAAATCGACGATGGCGGCTTGCAGCCTTGGGTACTGGTGACGAAGTAACATATTCCAGAGTGTATCCATGTGCTTCTCAGTCTCATTGTCTGTCAAATTTTTTATTAGCAGTAGTATGTTAAAACCGTTTTTGTTCGTTTCGAACCTGGAGCCACAGCAATACCCTTCAGGGAGATACACAAGTTGTCCAAGAACTTAGATAGTACATCCCCTTCAGCGAATCCCAAATTTATCGCTATAAGAACCTTGACCTTATCAGGCCAGTAGAACATATAGCTAGCAACAACATGGCGGCCTCCTTTCTTTGCAGAAATTGTCTCGGGCAGTCTATCCAGAAACTCGCGACCCAGTCGGTCCGTATCAAGGTTGCCAAGTGGCGCATTCTTTGAAGATTTGCCGTCGGTACTGGATTCGTCTAGGGATAGTTCTTCTTCAAGCTCTTGATATAAGACTTTGTCTTCAAATTGGCGACCACTGCGGAGGAAGAGTAGCTTGGCATATGCGTGCAGCTCTTTTAAAGTAGATTCGGCCTATATATGTTGTGTATCAGTGTCCATATTTGCAGTGAAAGAATAAATAAAATTATCTGCATACCCAGGAATACTATACAGATTCTACCTTATGAGGGATTCTTTTGTTGGGCTGGTTGGGCATCAAAATTCTCATGCATGCTTTGGCAGAACTAACCAATAATAACCACCTGGATGACGCGCAGTATCGGGACAGCCCAACACAGACAGAAGTCCAGTACTACCCGGACCTCAGAATAAGCAAATCTGAGATAGATTACTGTCGTTGATAGTATTGAAATATCCATTTTAAAGATGTAAGTCGTCTTTGATGTTCTCTTCCTCAGTTATACTGTATAAGGCGTGCCCTTAGTTAGGGGCGGCAATGGTCATTCAACAGTGGGAAACCTATCGGATAGCCCAGGCTTGGCGGCCAATTGCCTATTCAGAGTAAGTTTTCGGCCCGTATGCACACATCTCGCAGGCTACGCATAATATTCAAGGTCTTGGGAATTAAATCTATTCGTAATCGAGTTATATACAAGTAACTGCACATTTTATAACTATTGCATCCCTTTCGTATGATTTTCTTGATAATAGGCATTGGTTTCCTCTCATACCCGATTATTTCTGTAAACTGGTAGAATTGAGCGGTCTCATCCGTACTGAAAAGAAAAAGATGTCAGCTCGGCTGTTTGCCATCAAGACTGATATACTCAAGAGTACGAAGATTAATAGGTAATAATCAGTGAAGAAATGCTAATCTCCCGGATATACCTCATTGAAGTCATCGTCTTATTCTTGCAGCCTATGACCCAATCTTCCCAAACAGCTGCTTCTATGCTCATTACCTTCTCCCTCTGAAGCTTCGCGGCGGTGTCAAATTTCGAACCTGGCTTGACGCCCCATAATTCTCAGCTCTCAGTGGTCTTGGGTCTCTTCCTCTTGGAGCACCAGGTTGTCTGGCATGACCGCCGCTTGGAAACACTGACGAGCTTAAAGTTGAACTGGTACTTCCAGGTGGAGCTAGCGTCCCGGATTGACGCGGGGTACGATAACCCTGAGGTCCTGAACGGCCCGGGCTCGCGCCCCTTCTGGTGGTCCGTGTTGGCTGATGGCTGTAGGAATATGTGGACGCGCTTGGCGTGATGTTGACTCCTAGAGGCGGCGTTGACATCCGCCGGGGGGCAGTGTTCTGAGATGGGCTTACACGTGTGTCTGGGCTACTTGCTCGCCGACCGTAGGGTTGTTGCGAATAGCGAAGAGGGGCCCATGACATTGGTAATCCTGAGCCCGAGCCCATGGAAGCTCTCTGTTCGTTGGATTGGTTGAAACTTAGTTGCTGTAACTGTGCCGTCATCGTCCCTGTAGTCGGCGGTGCTCCTCCAGTTGGATATCGAATCTGTGATGGGTCTGATTGGCCGTACCCAGCATAAGGTCGGCTCTGAGAATTACGCGGAGGAAATCCATATGCTGGCGCATTTAGCTCACTCGGCGGAGGCAGTGGAGTCCATGGCCTATATGGCTGGGACTGTTGAGGGGCTACCATCTGTTGAGGGAGCCTGTCTGCGGGGTTTGGTAACACTAGCCCTCCTGCTCGCAGTAGACGACCACTTCGCGCTGCAGTAGTAGTGGTATCTGAAGACGATCGTCTGTGTCTGGAGGATGTTTGCCTTCTCGTTGCCTGACTTGGATTTAGAGTTGGCTGATCCTTTACACTTCCTGAGGTAGACCGATGATGCGATCTTTGTCTTCGGGCAGAGTCTGTGTTACTATGGGCCGCGGCACTCCCGACAGCCTCATGAAACAGCCTTCGGCTTCCTCTTGACGGAGAGCCTAGATCGCCAACGTATTCATCCTCGCTGGACTCGGTACTAGTAGAGTCGGTAGAGTTACCTTGTCTAGATGTCGTTGTGAGACTGGGAGCTGGGTTGCTAGCTGTATAGCCTCGATGGTATGACGGTTGTTGAAGTGGAGGGGTTTGCCAAGAAGGTGCTTGGGGGATCACGTTCTGTTGGACTCCTGTTGGGGGCTGATAATTTGATAACGGTTGAGCGCCCGTAGTCTGGGTGAAGCCATGTCCACTCGACGTCACAGGCTGATAGGCTGTAGGTTGACCATAGTTTGATGATGTGCCTGGGGGTAGATCTTTTGATCTAGATGCTCGCCGGTGAGTTTGTCTGGCTAACCACTCCTCTAGTGTCATATCTGGAGTTATGTCTGGATTATGTGATGTCCTGCTCGGTTCCCAATTACCCCGTAGCGTTGACAACGAGCCAGTGTTTGAGGAACTAGACGTTCGTTGGTGTCGCTGTCGGCTAGGTGACGCAGGCTGTCCTTGTAAAGAAGGCCTGGCATTGTTAATGTACTCGCACGAGTATTAGCGACCCTCATCCGTTCGAGTTCACCACACCCAGGTGTTCCAGCCAGTGAGGGGATGCCACCTTTCTGTCGTGAGGGGTTTTATGCCGACGCCTTTATCTGTCGGGAGCCTGCTTTCAACTGTCATCATCGATTATAGCGGAAGGTTGCATTTGAGACCATGTTTGACAAACTGCCTACGTCACTAGTCCTGGCCTAGCAATACTGGCGGATAGTACATCACCAGATTTTCCATCATCGAGCCTTCCGAAAGCTTTGAACCATGGCAGATGATTTAACAGACAGCCTGACCTTGGAGGATTTGGACGCGGCGATTGCAAACCTGAAAAACAACTTGGAGAGCATAACACACGACGACCCCGATTTTTATTCGACGGCCGCTTTGCTTGCACATGCGCTTCGGAAGCATTACCTTTTATCACGGCCAAATGGGGTTTTGAGTGTTCTTGACGAGTCCATCACCTTTCTGAGGCAAGTTATCGATGGTTCTTCCATAAACGATACCAGGAGAGCTGAGTGGCTCATTGGCCTCGCGTTTGGCCTGAGCCTTCGTTGCGATGCGACAGATTGTGAAAGCGATGCTAGAGAAGCTTCTCGGTTATCATTCGAGGCCGTGGGCGCCGTGGAAAAGGATGGTCCGCCGTATGCGACAATCCTACAATCCGCTTGTCATTTCATCGGCAAACAGGCAATCAGACTCCACAAAGAAGATGACTTGGAACAGGTATTCAAGATGCACAAGGGCATTATCTCGGCCACAACCGTCGATCATCCCAAACTTAGATCACGGCTGCGGAGCTACGATAATACCTTATTCAAAGGATATTTGTCATTCGGACATAGAGAGTATCTGGAGGAAGCAATTCGAGTCTCAGAGTACATCGTCAACATCCCAGATCAAAGCACCGAGGACCATGCAAGAAATGTATGGATTCTCAGTCATCGCCTTGTTCAAAGATACTTGAGGACTGGAACAACGGCAGATCTCGATGATAGTATAAGAGCGTGCCAACAAGCTGTTGACGACACTCCAATAAACTCGAATGATCGACAACGAAGACTGCAGTCCCTGTGCGATAGGCTGGGAGAGAAGTATTCTCAGACCCTGGAAGAAGCTGATTTCCAGGCCGCCAAAGTGCTGATGGATCAGATTCTTGATCATTTGCCAACAAAACAGAAGAGTCGAGCCCGATCGCTTGGAAACATTGGAATCATTTTGAGTCTTCGATATAGACAAACAGGACATGATGATGACTTTCAACAAGCGATTCGTGTTGCTAGAGAAGCCGTGGGTTTGACGGTTGAGGGTGACACTGGGCGTGCTATCCGACTGAGCAACCTCGGTGGGGTATATACTGAGGCATATAACAAGACTAGGAATACGAAGCGCCTCGAAGAGGCAATCCGAATCGGGAGAGACACCCTCGCTGCCACGCCCGATAGCCATCCACACAAAGCCCTACGTCATTTCAATCTTGCAGACAGACTTCAACTTCGATATTTTGAGTCGAAATCAACCGGTGACGTCGAGGAAGCTATTCACCTGTATCGACTCACCCTACATGAGTTTAGAGCCCCCATGTTTCTTCGTGTTCAGGCTGGTTACTCCCTGATGCAGGGTTGCGTCCTGAAGCGCGATTGGAACGAAGCATATAAGGCTGGTGCCGAAACCATCAATCATCTGTCACTCTTCAGACCGCTTTCACTGCAAAACACTGATATACAGCGCGAAGCCAGTAAGCTTTTAGGTCTGGGCACTGAAACAGCATCACTTGCCTTGGAAGTGGGGAAGAGTGCAGCAACTGCCCTTCAATCGCTTGAGTTGGCTCGAGGAGTCATGGCATCGTCCATCAATGTGCTTCAAGCTGATATCAGAGATATGGAGAGGGGTTTCCCAGAACTAGCCGGCAGGTATAACCGTCTTCGAGAGCAACTCGACACAGGTTACGCTCCGCAATCCGACTTTTCACTAGGCGAAGAGGTTTGGGGAAACGAGATAACCGAAAGATATGATGTAGGGGAGCACATTTCATCATTATTAAAGGATACACGCTCAAAGCCGGGCTTTAAGAACTTCTCGCGGCCTGAAGATGAGGAGCGAATGCGAAGTGCGGCCGCCCTGGGTCCGGTGATTGTCGTCATTGTTGGCCCTCTTACTTGCGACGCAATAATCATTCAGCAGGATGATTTCAGTGCCATTCCCCTCCATAAGTTAAATCAATTCGATATCGACTCGAAGTATGGGTCGTTAGGACGTGGAAGTCTCAAGGTTCTTGAATGGCTTTGGGATGCAGTTGCTGAGCCCGTACTCAATGCACTGGGGTTCACTGAAGTACCTCGGGATGGGGAGATGCAGAGAGTTTGGTGGGTTTTGACTGGCTCTTTGAGTACGTTTCCTATCCATGCTGCAGGGCGTCACAGTCAGCGAAACGGTGAGACGGTCATGGACAGAATCATGTCGTCGTACGCCACCTCAGTATCAGCTATTGTGCAAAGTCGGAGGACGGCGCCTGTTTTTAACAACGAGGCACTATTGGTGTCTGCTGGCGAAACACCCGGTCACCGAAGATTGGCCTTTGCAGATAGAGAAGTCAATGTGCTGCGAGATATCTGTCGCCAAATGAAGCTCGAGCCTGTTGAGCCTGAGCCTATTAGAGAAGATGTGTTATCACACCTGCGAAAGTGCAAGATCTTCCACTTCGCAGGGCACGGATACACTGATACAACCGATCCTTCCAAAAGCCAGCTATACCTGAAGGACTGGCAGACAGAGCCCCTTACAGTCGCAAGCCTCCTCGAGCTCAATCTACATCGGGAGGGCCCCTTCCTTGCGTATTTATCTGCCTGCGGTACAGGACAGATCAAAAGCGAAAAGCTCTTTGATGAAGGTATTCATCTTATTAGCGCTTGTCAATTAGCAGGTTTCCGGCATGTAATCGGGACTCTGTGGGAGGTCAACGATCAGTCTTGTGTTGATATGGCTGCTATTATAGATGAGGAAATTCTTAGGGGAGACATGTCGGATGAGACTGTGTGCCGTGGTGTTCATGTAGCTACGAAACAGAAGAGAGATCAGTGGCTTGGTGAGGCCTATGTTGCTGAGAAGGCAACGAATCCAGTAGAGAACGGGCCAGGGGAGGAGAAGAGGGACATTGACGTCGAGAGAAATATCATCTCTCTTGATGAAGACGACGGACAAGGTATTCCTGGTGTGCAGAATGACCCATTGCACTGAGTTCCATATGTCCATTTTGGTGCATGATTCTCAGTTTTCGGCCTCGAATGTCTCGGAAGCTCCAACAACCCGCTGTGTTATCTTTACTAAGAAACACATTGTATCATTCGACTTTGTTTTTTGATACCATTAAGTCAATGAACCTCGGTTGTGCTTTTCGGTCCTGTATCCGACACGTTCAACAATATTTACAATCCCAACATGACAGTATGCTCGACGCAAATATTACCTACATCATACACCTTGCCTCATGAGCTGAAGAGCTGTTCAAGCTTTGACTTTCCCTCCAACTTCTTGATCTCCTGCTTCATCACATCAATGCGATAGTTCTTCCACGCCTTCTCTATCCGCTCCTTGGCCTCAGGGTTCTTCACAATAGTGCGTGACGCCGACGCCGTGCCTGTAAGAAGACCAGCTTCACCACCGATGAATAAACCTCCGACGGAGAAGAAGAAGTATGTGGCTGCGTCACCCCACTTGGATGGTGTGAGATGGGCTGTGATATCGGGAATGGGTTCTACAAATAAGGTCAATATTCCGTATGATGCTTGCGACAAGGCATGACGTACCGGTACGACCATCCGCAAATCTGACCTCGACGGGCTTCTCCATGGCTCTGAAGGCATTGAAGTAAGTCAATCGCATCTTTCGCAGTCGAAAAGCAGCCAAGACGCCCAGGCCAACACCGAGCAGCGATCCGAGTTTGGCATGGGTTGACACTTTACTCCCTGCGCGTCTCAAAATCTCGCGATCGTCGTCGTTCAAGCTACTCATCGTCAGTATCAATTTAGACCCCATTTTCAGGCGACATACTCATGCTGAAAGTGCTCCTCTGCAAGACCACGCAGCTCATCACTCCTCCCAGATCGAAAAGCGGCAAGACCGGACATGTTTATATTTATCGTTCAATTGAGTAGAAAAAAGTGAAACAAAATGGAACTGGGCATTGTGACTGAATAAATACCGTCATAGAGGCCTTTGGAAGACGTCGGATATGAGCGGGTAACGCTGACGTCACCACCATTTACAGTGCCCGATTCTGTTTAGCGGGAGAAACACGAAGAATTGATTCAGTAAAACGTCATTATTGTACCAGGAACGTGTCTTGGATGATTCTGCCTTTGGACCATGACCTCAATTGATGATTCTTGCTATCATTTGTACTGACTCTGAACCAAAGCCTCCCACTCCGTCAAAAGCCCCATGATCTCAACGCTTTGATCAACATTCGGCGAAGGCCGTTCAGCTGTTTTAACTCCGCGGGATAAATACTCTTCCACCTTGTTCACCTGATATCCAAACGCGTCCATGTCTGCAGGTACAATGATTTGCTCCGTTGAACCGCTGTAGGTTTTGATCTCGATGATGTTGTCCCCTGCAATTGGCAGCCAAGGGTTCGTGATGAATCTGATCCTGCCTTTATCTCCAAGAATTGCGAAGGATGAATCGTTGCCGTAGCTGTCAGTTGACTGCAAGGTTGCAAGAACGCCGTTGTCGAAGCGGACTGTCAGTGATGCGTCGCGGACATGGACACTGCCTTCTGTTGAGATATTGCCGAAGCCGTGCAATTGACGCTTTGCGAATGCATCGCTGCCAAACGCCGTCTCAATGACGAAGTGCAGCAGTGAGACCGGATAGCATCCCAGGTTGTAAATTGTCCCCATGCTCAGTGGATTCGCCTTCTTCCAAATATTGGCAGAGTAGTACCCCGATACACCTTTCACCGTCCCAATCTTGTCTTCAAGCAGCAATTCCTGAGTCTTCTTCATCAACGGATGAGTAAGGTACATAAGCCCCTCCAGAAAGAACACACCCGCATCTTTCACAGCTTTCTCAATTGCTTTCGCATCCTCCATCGTCGTCGCAAGCGACTTCTCAGACAAGATCGCCTTGCCTCGCTTAGCAGCCGCAAGAACTGCGGGGGTGTGCATATGATTCGGCAGACCGACGTACACGACGTCTATGTCAGCCTTGTCAAGTAGCTCATCGATCGAAGTGTTTCGCTCCGCAATGCCATGTTTGTCGGCGAATGCGGTTAGGCGGGCTTCATTGCGGCCAAAGACGGCGGCGATGGTGGAGTTTTGGCTGGCGAGGATGGAGCGGGCCACGACGTCGGAGATGAAGCTCGTTCCGAGCATTCCCCATCGCAACGCGGTCATATTGGATAAGGTGACTGATGAAACTGGATAGATGAATTGGAGGTATAAAAAAGATATAGGTTCCTTCTAGGGCAACTTTTTATAGCTTGGGCGGTCTCTTCAACATTTTTGGGTTGTTGTTGTGAGCCCGCTAACGTTAATTCGCTTATCTTGCTTATCTAAATCCGGCCGTCTCCGAGTATTACCGCTTATAAGCTGTCATTTCCGTGCTACCCTGAGGCTATTCTATTCAGAATTACAAACCAGTAATACAAATCTCTGTATTTCTATAACTATGTGGATATAGTCTGAGGTCCCTCCTTGAGATCCTCAACGATACTCTTTCTTTGCCGCTGTGAAAGTCTTGCCTTGCGCGATATCCCGTGCCATGTTATCATCAGCCTCAGTTTGTGCTGGTAGGATCTCAATGATCTTGGACAGCGCATCCTGAGGCACGCAAACAACGCCATTTAAATCTCCAAATATGATATCTCCAGGATTAATTGTCACGTCAAGGGCAGGGTCCTGCAACATCACAGGCACATTGATCTACAATGCGTTAGTCATGAGCGCCCTGTATTTGGTGAATATCACGTACCTCACTGGGGCGCGCAACCTCATAGAAGCTCGGCGTACCAACATTGCGAGCGAAAACCTTGAATTTGTTAGGAGAAACCGAAACTATGATCTAGCCGACCTACTGGGTAGTCTAATTTGCGATGATCCTGCAAATCTCGAAAAGTACCGTCAACAACCGTGCCGACAGCTCCAGAGTATTTGGCACGGGTGCTCATCAAACCGCCGTACACAGCGTTGAAGATGCCATGGGGCGCTGAGATAAAGACGACATGGTCTTTTGGGATAGTATCAATCTACAGGCCGTTAAAAATGGCTCATATCAAGGAAGTTGGAGCGTACATAATGCTCTTTGAGCTTTGGCGCGTTAGTCTGAGTGTTGCGGACAAACTTGACAGTATACGCAGGTCCAATGAGCTTTCTATCGCCTTCTTGTCGCAGAGGTGACCACATGCTCAAGTTGGGAAGAAAGCCGCCATGAGGAACGCCTACTTTGAGCAACGCGTCTGAAACATCGCACCTGCACCGGCGTTCAGATAAGTACCATTCATTACTATGACCTTCTTTTTTGATACTTACGTCGAGTATGAGCGAAGCTTTTCGGCCAGCGAAAGGTCTGGAGTTACCATGGTGGATAACGTTGCGGTTGTGGAGAGGTAATGTTGGAATGGAGCTCGGCTGGCAATGAGAACCTTCTGAAATGGCCTTGTAATACTCATTGATGTTGATTAGAAGTATTTATATATAGTATTGTCTGAGAAGGAAATTTTTAAAGAATTTATGGCGGGTTGATATGGCTACATTGGTCTCTCGGCAGGTTTCCGGGAGAATGCCCGGGACAGTTTCCGGGAGAGCATCCCGGAAGACACCTGCATGCAAAATACAGCCAAACATAAGATTGCTGTATATATAAATTGTATCCTAATTCCACAGCATACAAGTGCGTTAATCGTCATGTCAAGTACTTTCCTATCTTTCACTTGTCGTTATGGCTGACTCCAAACCAACTGTCTACGTACTAGACCCATACCATCCAGACGCCATCGCGGCGCTGCAGCAATCATCCGACATTAATGTCGTCCTCCCAACAGACCAAAGCAAGAACCAGTATAATGAAAATGCCACTGCAGTTATGCTACGCAGCGAGACCCGCCTCGGCGTAGATGAACTGTCCAAATGCAAGAAGTTGAAGTACATCGTCAAGCAAGGCGTTGGCGTCGACAACATCGATCTCAAAGCAGCTGTCGCCGCGGGTATAAAAGTCTACAACACCCCCGGTTTGAATGGAGAAGCGGTTGCTGAGCTTACACTCGCACTGGCTTTGACGCTGTCACGACGAGTTGCTGAAATTGACCGCCGGACGAGAAATGGCGAGGCTATTGTGAGGAGTCAGACGCTGGGGAAAAGCTTGTTCAAGAAGACACTGGGAGTTATTGGAATGGGAAATATTGGGCTCGCTGTTGCGAAGAAGTGGGTTGGAGCTATGGAGGGCAGTATCGTTGCTTATGACCCCTTCTCAGATGGGAAACAGTGGTTGAGCACGTTCGGGGAGACCAGGTTTCGCCAGGTTTCAAAGCTGCATGATCTTTTGAGTGCATCAGATGTCGTAACTCTTCATCTCCCTCTCACCAAAGACACGGAAAATATCATCTCGACCGCAGAGTTCAACGCCATGAAGGATGGTACAATTCTAATCAACTGTGCTCGAGGAGGCATCGTTGACGAGGATGCATTGTTAACTGCGTTGAAAAACGGAAAGCTGTTTGGTGCTGGCCTTGATGCCATGAAGGCTGAGCCTCCTACTATTGAGGCATACCCGGAGTTGCTGGCGTTGCCGAATGTTGTTTTGACGCCTCATGTTGGAGCTTCGACGGTTGAGAATCAGAGCCAGAGTGGATTGGCCGTTGCAGAGATTACAATGGCACTGTTGAGGGGGGAGGAGAAAGGGAATAGAGTAGCTTAGATGCGTTAGTGCTCAGTAGGTCATATGGAATAGAATATTATGAGTACCTTTGTTCACACTGAGATTGATCTCCCGTAACGCGGCATCCTCCAATCAGATGACGTGCATATCAGGATAATGCTCCAGAGTGGAGAGCGCTAACCCGAAGTAGACTCAGGCTTTCCCGGGATCGGTCACTGCATTGCTCACTTCATCTCGACTTGTCATCAACCTCACTTCAATAACCAGACCACAATGAGCCTAATCAGTCTGACGCCCATCAAAAGCAAGATAAGAATACATCGCATCTCACGGAACACGTATGTTACCCGACAAACATCATAATGCCCAAAACAAGGCGCGAGCGAAGAGATTCTCCGCCCCGCCCAAAGAAAACAGCCCGATTGACATGTAAGAATTGTCGTGCCCGAAAAGTCCGCTGCGATGGAGGCCAGCCCGTGTGCGGTATCTGTATAGCATACAATGAGTCTTGCCAATATGATCGACCACCGCCCATGACGCAGATTCGCGCTATGGCGGATAGGATCGCTCAGCTTGAACAGACCATCAAAGACCTCCAGGACAAAGATGGGAACAGTATTGCTCGTTCACGAAAAGTCGGTGCAGTTCCAGCAGACACGGGTGTATCGACGCTTACAGAACCACTTCCGACTATTGAAGTCGCGGACGGTCCTCTCGATACCGCTCGTGCTTACTACGATACCACGTCAGCAGTTCACGATCCAAGAGAAACGCCATCGCAGGCGACGACGGGTCATGTCACCGTGGCACACAGCCCTGAAACTCGGCAGCCTCTACCAATGCAAACGCCCGAGCTCAGTTTCTGGGAGGATCAAGCTGTCGAGAGCGCAGCAGTTTACCTCAGCATTCCGCAGGATGTCATTCGACGTCTCTTCGCGACGCATTGGACATGGGTTCACGCGAACTTTATGTTTGTCCCAAGAGCTTTATTTCTCTGCGATGCCGCAGTCGGTGGAAAATTCTTCTCTCAGTTTCTATTAAGCGTATTGTGTCTGCACTCCACCCGCTTCAGGGAACGACATTTAACAGAGCAATTGCTTGCCAGGGCAAAGTTGGAGTTCAGTCATGAGATACACAAAGAAGGATCCATACCACTAGTCCAAGCACTGCTACAATTCAGCGCTCGCGAAATCGGTCGGGGATCTGTATCGCAAGCCTGGCTGTATGGTGGCATGGCATTTCGAGTTGCTAT